CTTCTGCTGACTCCAACAGAACCTGGCCTAGGAAGTTCCCAGGTAGTACTACAGGTAGAATAGAGATGGGATTAAAACATTGAACAATAACATATAAGATGGGGGTGGTGTGATGACTGAAATGAAAGGAAGGTCCTTCCATAAGATGGCAGAAATACTGATTAGAGTTTAAGTCAGGTGTTCATGTTATAAATATTGAGAAAGCCACTAAAAATCCAGAACTAGAATATATAACATTTAAACCAGGAAAGAAAATAAGTGAAAATATTTAAATCAATCAATCAGAAAGCAGGAATGGAGGGGGGAAAAAATCAGCATTAAAAATTTGACCATTTAATAGGCAGAAGTTGTCAGACTGGATGTTAAAACAATGACACCACCACCACCAAACAGAAGTTAACAGAGGAGAATAAATTTCTATTTATAAGAGAGAGACCTAAAATACCACATAGAAAGATTGAAAATAAAAGGACAATAGATATACCGGAGCTTTGGTTCCTATTAAGACAATGAACTAGCACAAGCTACTGGCTCCCTTCCCCCAAAATCAATGCTAGGAAAAAACAAACCTGAGGAACCACTACCAAAACATAAAAAGTCCTCTCAAACCCTGTAAAACCCCTCCAGGAGACTGAAGGTTATCATATACTAGACATGTCATACATCATACATCAGGGACATGTCTACTCTTGTTGGATATGGGACAATCAGCAAAGTCACTGGTGTCAGTAGGACACTACCAGAGCAGCTTAAAAGCTCTGCTGAGGTGAAAAGGGATGGGTTGGGCTGGCTGTGCTGGGCAGGTGCTCTTGGACTAAAACTCAGAGTCCTTCTCCCAACCAAAGCCCCAGATCTGGTAGATGACAACTAGGAATCATGACTTCCCCCAGTGCTGCTGCTGCTTTAGAAGTCTGAAGGTAGATCTTTGAGCAGTTGCTGGTTAAGTGGTCAACAGCAACTGTGAAGTGACTGCAGCTTCCCCTTCTGAATAGAGCCTGGCTTTGGTCTTTCACCAAGAAATACTACCAGACAGAGGAGCTGGTGCTGTGAGGGAACACGGCTCAAATAACTAGATGCCACCTTAGGAGGACAGGTCCCTGCCCTCAAAGACAACATACTAAACAAGAATTCAAAACAAAACAAAATAAACAGAAAGGAACTATTAGCAATTCAAAACAGGAACAAGAACCAGGTGGAAATACTAAGTGTGAAAAATATAATGAACAGGATAGAGGAACAGATACATCTCAAAACCAGTGAGCTGAAGACTGAGGAACTTTACCAAGCAGCAGCAGGAAAGGGTGAAGACATGGGACACACACACACAACAGTCCAGGGACAGAGTAGAAGTGCCAGCATCTGGATAATGGGAGTCCTAGAAGGAAAGGGGAATAAGTGTAGGAAATATTTGAAAAAATAGTGAAAATAAATCTTCCTGAATTAAGGATGAAAGAAATCATAGAATGAAGAGTAAGGAAAAAGTACAATCAGAAACACTGTAGTGAAAGACATTTAAGATAATCTAAGAAAAGCAAAAAATCTGAAAGCTCTCAGAAATAGCAGATCAATTACAAAGGAACAAGAATCAGACGGACATCAGACTTTTTAACAGTATCCTTACAGGAAAGAAGATAAAGGAATGTTTTCAAAATGCTGAAGGAGAGAACTTTGACCTCAAAATTTATACCAAGACAAAATCACTTAAACATGAGTGTGATAAAAAATATTCTCAGGGACAGGAGGCTTCAGAAAAGTTTTCACAAAAGACCCATTTAGAAAATATTCTTGGGGGCCGGCCCGGTGGCGCACTGGATAGTGCGCCGCTTGGGAAGCGCGGCGGCGCTCCCGTCCGAGGGTTCGGATCCCACGTACAGACCGGCTCCCGCTCACTGGCTGAGCGAGGCGCGGGAGCAACGCCGAGGCTTGCGATCCCGTCGCCGGTCCCCGGTCCGGTACAGGGGCAACACTGAGGGTTGCGATCTGTTGCCGGACACGGAAAAAAGACAAAAAAAAAAAAAAGAAAATATTCTTGGAAGAAGTGGTCAAATATAAAAAATAGATTTGGACATGAGAAGAGATATACGAAGTAACAGTGAGCAAATACTTTGGCAAAGTTTGTAGTATGAAACAACTAAGACTAACGAAAAAGAAAAAGAAAATTTTTAAGTATATTAACAATCCAGAATCAAAGGAAGAAGACTGAGATTGTAATAAAGACATAGGGGTAAACAAACATGATTAGTATTAAGAGTATTATAAATAAAAAAAGTAGAATGTATTACTTTTATTTTTTATTTATTTATTTTTTTCCTTTTTGTCTTTTTTTTTTTTGTGACCGGCAACGGATCGCAACCCTCAGTGTCGCGCCCGTACTGGACCGGGACTGGCAACGGGATCGCAACCCTCGGTGTTGCGCCCACACCTCGCTCAGCCAGTGAGCGGCAGATCTGGATGTGGGATCCAAACCCTCGGCGGGAGCGCCGCCACACTCCCAAGCGGCGCACTGTAGCAGTGCGCCACCGGGCCGGCCCAGAATGTATTACTTTTAAACAGGTAGAAAAAAATTTGCTATTTAATGGAAAACAAAGAGGGAAAAAACCCAAAAGTACAGTAGGTGGAAATTGTGAAATAAAAGCAGAAATAGGTTCTACTAGCAGTACTTAAAATAAATGCAAACATCTTAAACTTAACAAAAGACAGAGTCTCACCCCTTTCCTTCCCATCTCCACCTACCCTCCCTCCACGGAGACACTGGCATTTGAGGAAGTAAATGCCTGGAGCCCATGGAAGCATGTGGTGCAGTGGGTGGCTAGAATGGTTGGGAGATTGGTTACACTGCAAACAAGTCAGCTGACTGAGAAAATAAGCACATATATTGAGAATAATGGGAGCCAGGTTTCTCACTCATTGAGAAAGGGAAGGCTAGAAGGAATCATGAGGTGTTGAACTGAAACTGGAAGATTTGTATGAACTTAACACATTTAAACAAATAAACAACAAAAGACTATATATGCATATGTACATGGATATAGATGTATATATAGTTATATGAATATATGTACAATATTTGTTTATTGATTGTTCGCTCTACCCACCGAGAGGGCATAATAGCAATTTTACCTTAGCAAGTGCTAAGGCATTATGACTCTATGGAGAAATGGCTGATTCCAACACTGGGGCAAGGAAAGAAAAAAGCTCCCAGAATTTGTTTTGAGTGAAGAAATGCTGAAAAAACGATGGGGACATGTCAGAAGAACATAGGAGCCAGCTAGAAGAGGATTCCATTGGTCAAATCTAGGACAATTGGAGCATCAAAATAAACCATGAGAGTACCAGATTAGAACCTAATGAATAAAATAGGAATTCATGAGTCTATAATAATGTAAATAAATGAATAAAAAATTGCAAAGACTCTCAGTATGATTTTTTAAAAAATCTAACAATTCTAGAGCAAAAATGATGGCGAAAAAATATCAAGCAAATTTAAACCAAGAGAAACTGTAGAAGCAATATTTATAGCATCTGATAAAACAATGAAGAAAGAAAAAAGGTGGGAGATGATTATATACAGATAAGAACAATGAATCCAGAAAATGTAAATATCATGTATATTAGTATACCTCAAACACAGCCTGAAAATGCACAAAACTGCAGGTAGGTAAAGGGAGGATGGATTACTATTGGGATAAGAAAAGAAATGGGAAAACACTTAGAACACACTGATGACAAATCATTTTGTCTGAATCTGGAAATACAGCTTCTAGCAGTACTGAGATGGAAAAATTATACATTTGAAATCATTTACAGGAAACAAGAAAGATTAACAATGAATGAAGAAATCATTGAATTAAATAATTTAAAGAATAAAAAACAAAAAGAAGAAAAACAGTAATAAAGTCAGAAATAAATAAGAAAAAAAGGTTGACAAAACCAAATGCTGGTTCTTTGAAAAGATTATAAGATAATAAGAACGATCAGGAAAATGAGAAGATGCAAACAAAATACAAAATGGAAAAAGGAAATAATTATGAACTATGAGTTAATAAACCTGAATATATGTAGAAAAAAATGAAAAAGTTGTAGAGCAACATAAAAATCCAAATTGGCAAGACATTAAAAACTTGAATAGACCAATCAGCATTAATCAAAAAGGCAAAGATCTCCTTTTAGGGGGATAAAAAAAACACAAACAGAATTAAAAAGTTTAGTTTGACCACACTTGAGAACTGAAGTTCTATGTGAGGTGTTCCACAAAATGGAAAAGGAAGAAAACCTGCCCAGCTCTTTCTGAGACTAGTGTTAACAGTAATTCCAAAACCAAATAAGGAGAATTAAAGAGGAAAAAAATTAATATTTCACTTGTGACTATAGATGCAATAACACAAAAAAACTAAATAAAATATTAGCCTGCCAGATCTAACAGTATTTTTTTCAAATCCACAAGGGTTTATCTAAGGAATTCAAGAACAGTTCAATAGGAAACTCACTTCTGCTTCCATTCCATTGATCAAAACTTGTCCCATGTTCACTCCTAGTTGCAAGGTAGCCTGGAAAATACACTCTAATACCCAGGGAACCACTGCCTAAAACTTGAGGGGAAGGAGGATTCTGCTAATGAGGTGCGGTAGTAGGGAGATGAATACGGTACAGTTGTCTTGTTCCTAAAGTGATGATATATAACTGTTACCAAGCAAAAGAAGTTTCACAGATTAAGTGTTCTTTCTCCAATTAAAAAACAAGTAAATAAAATATCATATGCTCTTTTGTATCTGTTGATATACCATGTATTCCCTCCCTTTTTCAATGTACTGAAGTACACCAACGAATTTTTGTGATGCTGATCACTACTGATATGCATATAAACACATATGGGTAAAGAACTTATGATTTTATTATAGTATGTAGTCATTCTAAATATTTGATTCAAATATGAAGAATTGATCGAGTATTATGTTTTGCAGAATCCAAAGTGCTGAATTTAGTGAAAATTCAGACTGTAGTATGAGAATTTACATTTATTGAAAGTCTTAGTACATGCCAGGCAACTGTATATGTTATAATGAAAAATATCTGACATTTGAAAGCCCACCATGTGCCAGGCACAACTTATAAGGAAGTTATTATGCCCACTTTATAGATGATAAAACTGAGGCACAGAGAGGTTAACTAACTTACCTAAAGTTATACAACTAGTAAGTGGAACGACGAGGCTCCAAAGTTATGATCTTTCCACTATGTAACAATACCTCTTAATTATTATTTTTTTCAGTGATGATAACAAAGTACGATGATAGACAAGTACTAGCATAAAGGGATTAGAGATATTATTACTTAATTCTTTCCTAAAATTTCAACTCAGTACCACAGGAGACCTTTTAATTCACATTGAAAATTAAATTCTGAATTTAATAAAAAACTGGGATTCATTTACAGAAATTCATTTTACTTTATACTTTTTATGACAACTTCTGTTTTACAAAATTAGGAATGCCATAGGGCAGGTGGATAGAAACAGTACGAAATTTGAAGATGTGTTTGTACAATACCAAGACAACTTTACAGTCTAAGAAAAATGCCATTTAGTTTTACATTCTCAATTTAAATATGATTTATACTTAAAAATGGGCATATTCCTTATTCTAATCTCACAATTTCAAAATTGTTAAACTGATCTAAGCTTGTAAATCTCAAAAAAGTTTGCCTGAAATCAAATACTTATGTACCTGATATTTCTAGATGTTGGTGTTTTAAATATGAGGAGGGGTCTTCAAACAATTCATGGAAAGATTCATATTATCTTTTAATTCCATTTTCCACAAACTTTTTGAAGCATTTTTGTATAGTTAATAAATTAACTAAAACTGGGAACAAGTGTCTTTTGAGGGAAAAAAGGAAACTGGAAGACTTTGCAGTGAAACAGTATGTTTACTGGATTGAATAAAAACCAAATAACTTTTCTGAAAACTGCTCTCTTTCTTTGCAATTTTACTATCTGTTGGCTCATACCAATAAGGTCAAAGAGTAAAAGATATTTAAAATTCTTTCAAGACATAAAGAAAAAGAACTCACCCATCAAATACAAATATACTATTTTATTCTAAGGGAATATTTCTGTGGTTTCTTCAAGGGGAAAACCCAAAAGTGGTTAAAAATCAAAAAAGAACGGAAAGGATGATTTAGATATTTCTCTTTTTTTTCTCCCCTGGAAAAAAAAATGTAATTTTACACAATTTTAATAAGATAAAAAAAGAAAATAATCAAATACACACATCAACTGCTACACTTATGAGGAATGACCAATAAGTAAGCAATATTTTCTGTTATGAATTAGTTTAGGGTTCTGGGCAACTCTGTGGACTAACATGCAATTGAAGTTCTGATACAATCATTTATCTGGGTATTGTTTGTTCTTAGTTAAAAGATACAGACTTTTTTTTCTTTCTGGTATTTTATAACAATTTATCTACTATGCTAACAATATTTGTTTTTCATACAACTACATAAGGGGAAAATGTTAGTGTTTATACAAACCATAAAATTCCTACAGTGGGGACTATTCTACCTGATGTTTCTGGATAGTTTATTGGCAGATTTATCAGACAATTCAATTGTTTTTCCTCCATATCAAACAAGGTATGGAAGTAAGAAGTTTTCCAGTCAGAAATGACAAACACAGATGGAATTAATCATACAGAATCGGGGCAAATTTACTTCTTTCACACAGTTCTTGGTAACAAAAATGAGATTTGTTACAGGCAGAAGGAAAGAACCATCAAGTATACAATGTCAAAAGGCCTATGCCTACTTTTCAATTTTTTATTAAATTACCTTTATTTGTTTAAAAAAAAAAAAATCTGCCATCCCCACCTAAAAAATGGTACATACTGAAAAGTCTTTCAAGGTTAAAATTTCTAAAAGGCTTTTTGACTTCTCTCAACTTTATCATAGGGTCAAATTAACCTCAGCTAAAAAAGTTCTGTGATTGGCCAACATCATAAATGCTTTGAGTCAAAATTTTGTGAGGAAGAAACTGAGAATGGAGATGAGGGAGATGGATTGATATGCCACTCACGCCTATGACTTGCAATCCTCATAGAACTACTTAAACAGCTAGTTTGGAATAATGCTATAAGAAGACCCGCTTATGGATATGCCAGACAAAGTCTTTGTATCCTAACCCCAGAATACCTATTTTCAAGTTTCTTAGGGCAACAAGGTCATCTTCCAAATGCTTTATATAGGACCCTACTAAGACCTTTTCTACCATAATTCAGATAGCTAAGTTAATACTGTGTCTTTGTGGAATCACCCACAGGTTTGCCAGTTAAGAAGGAGAGAAACTATTCTTTTTGAAATGACAAGGGCCTCCAAAAACTGGTGCAAAAGACAAAATAAGAGAAACTGTTTGGGAAACAGGAAGGTAAAACAACGGGAGAAAAGCTGCCATTGGGGAAAAAATGAAAACAAAAGGAGAACCCCCAGTTCTGTGTACCACAGCTCAGGCTATGAGACAGCAGCAATAAAGGCCTGCACCCAGAGAAGTGGGCATTTTAGTGGGTTTTCTACAAATATTTCAAGACACCTGGGGTCTAATGGGCTCCACAGATTTTCTGAGTGTATAACTAGTTTACAGAATATCATCTCCTTTACCTTAATTTACCCACATCCAGACCCCCACAGCTGAGAGGGCTAGACCCAGAAAGTGAAAGGGACACATTACTATTAAGAGCAGTGAAGGTCATTTTCCCTGATGTGAGGGGCCCATGGCAAAAGCACCAGAGGCTTCTATCCTTCACATGATTGGCTTGGCAGTGAAAAATCAAAATCAAGAGCACTTCACTCTATCTTTTAAAAAATGTTGCGTATTTTTATTGGGTCTTCAAGTCTGAGTCCCCCAGTCCTCATTTGCTGTTCCTCTTAGCTCTAAACTGATTTCTCCCCTGACTTATGGAGGGCTTGCCCAAGTGGCCTACTGCAGCCAAGGTTTCACTCCAAAGCTACCTCTCTAAGGTCTAAGGTTACTATGGTAGAGTTTTATACAACAAATTTTCCTTAAAAATATTCCACAATTTGTTATTCCCAAACAAAATAAGATTATGCACCACTCAGAGAAACTAGTTAGTCATTCTGAAGATGTCTAAGAACTATATCACTGCCAAAGAACATTTCTCAGTTCGTATTCTTTCCTTCAGTTTTCGTTTGCACATCCACACTGTGGTTCACGAGTCATCTGTTTTCCATTATTTTATAATCAAGTCAAGAGGACTTGGACTTATACATCGTTTTCCAACAGCTGGATGCATTCACAGTTTGGTGCATACCAATGTATATGAAAATAGGAACCTCACTTCCATTTAATCTGATAATTCAACATCAGAGTCTTCAGATTTGGCTTTGGCAAGTTCTTCATGTACTTCCCTCACCATGAGAATACGTGTTAACATGGTGTCCAGGGTCCCCGGGTCTATCGGGAATGTGGAGTACCACATGGGGCTATTCGGGACACAGGCGCGCTCAGGTTGAAGGTAAAACACATCATTCCTCTGCTTCACACTTTCAGAACTATCCACGGGTGGGGTGGGGGGAAGAAAAAAGAAAGAAAGAAAAAATTGGGAATCAGAGAGTGTAGGAAATATGAACTATTCCTTAATATAATGGCTCTCAACTTTTTCCAACTGTGACTCACATCATAGATAAGCAACATGCCACAGGCAATAGGTTTATAGGCATTTTTCTCCAAGGAGTAAAACTTGTAACTCCACATCTTTTCTCACACACTCAAGAAATCACATTGTATTGCAAGTGAGTATAATGTTGATATAACACAAAGTCTAAATCACAAAGTTTAGTACTTAAAACATTATTAAGAGCAACAAAAAAAGTCAACTCACATTTGACGCTATGGCTGAGAACCACATATTCTACCTGCCCAATATCCCAAGGGCACGCAATACACATTATCAAAGGACAAACCCAGCCATTATATTTCTTTGAGAAAAAAGTGATTTGGTGTGGATCTTACAAATCTAAAATCATAAAGTTTCTCTAAGAAAAGGACCACTTAAAATTTTTCAATTCCTTAAAACTTGTTTTTTCTATTTACAGGTTTAACAAAACAACCTTTCTTCAAAAATTTTTTCTATATAAATAATAAAATCACTGTAGATTAGACATCACATAAAAGTTGAACAACAATTGTAAAGATCAAACAATAACAGTGACTCTTGCTTTTGAGGAAATTTTGGGAAAAAAAAAATCAAAATAAGGTAATTTGTTTCTTGGTTCAAAATCCAGGCAGATATGACAATGGGGAAAAATGAACTAAAGGCAAATCATTGTCTAGAGTCACAGGCCAGCTACTTTCCTGATGTTCAAGCATGAAATCCAAAACATGTTAACTGCTACTTGGAGTGTATTATATTTCAGAGAAAGATCACCTACCATTTGGACAGGTAAAACTCATACAGTCGGACTGGACATCTTAGTGGGTTGTCAGTATTCTCTGCCATCTCCACACCCACTGGAACTTCGTCATCTTCATCTCGTTTCCTCTTGCCAACAGTTAGTTTATCTTGTGCCAGGAAATAATAATCGAAGGATGATATTAGAAAAGTCTATTCTTCAAGTCTTAAGATACCTAATGAGTTTTGCTTCACAGCCAGAACGTTGTCACTCCCTCCCTTTCACCCACTCACTCAACAAATATTTATTGTGCTCCTATGGAAGTGCCAGACATTCTTCTAAGTGCTGGGTTTGTAGCAAGCATTACATAAAACAAGGTCCCTGTCCTGTGAAATACATGTTCCCCTGCTCACCAAAGTGGGGGCACAATGGCAAAAAGTATGTAATAGGACAGTATGCCTCTATTTTGAGCCTGACTTTGTTAATAGACTTTGTTAGGTATAGGATGCCTCAGCCACAGCAAGATAAAACAGAAAAAAAGGTTTCTTCACTACAGTATGTGCTCTTTCCTCTACATGCTCTTTCCCACAGTAAACTCCAAGATAGAAGTTGCCATCTCTTTACCTGAAAATAGTTCTACTGTGGGGCACCAGTGTGTACTGGGCATTTGCTCAAGTTTCCTTTATTTGTCATAGTATTGAAAGAAATGGCATCTTTGTTGGGAAAATTAATTCTCAGTAGATTTGGCCATTTGATAAAAAAAGAACAAACCCTTTTCCACCAACAGAATTTTGCAGAGGCTAAGGATTATCAAAAAGAAGCTGGGGTAAAGACATGGAAAGTAGGCTGTTTCTTTTCCACTTTTTCCATTCAGTCTTCAAGAGAACAATAGGTGGACCTGAGAAACTAAGGAAAAAGGTTTTCTTCTTTTTTAATACCTGCTCTTAACAACTGGCATAGAACTTTCCCTGGCTTTCTACATTAGTTATTACTGTAGCAAAATCCACCCATTTTCTATTTAGAAGCTACCTAAATGGAAAGACTTTGCTAGTTACTCATTCATAAAACAAACTGAACTTATTACCAATTTTACCAAGCAAAAAAACAGAGAAATATTACCTGACTGCCTCTCCCTCCCCCAATTAATATCAATTAAGAGCACATACTGGGTTATATATGAATAAATATTGTTATGTGTGTTAAACATCACGATTATTCTTTACAGATTTTAGTTTCAGTAATTTTAAATTCTCACATTAAAAAAAAATTTCACGGGGCCGGCCTGGTGGCGCACTGCTACAGTGCGCCGCTTGGGAAGCGCGGCGGCGCTCCTGCCGAGGGTTCGGATCCCACATGCAGACCGGCCGCTCACTGGCTGAGTGAGGAGCGGGGGCAACACCGAGGGTTGCGATCCCGTTGCCGGTCCCAGTCCGGTACGGGCACGACACTGAGGGTTGCAATCCGTTGCCGGTCACGAAAAAAGACAAAAAGACAAAAAAAAAAAAAAAAAAAAAAAAAAAAAAAAAA